TTTCTCTTATACTTGAGCAGTTTTAATGCATCATTCTGTCTAGACATTTTTAGAAATAAATTGAAAGTGTTTAGTTATCTGAGGATGTGAGCTAGCAAGTTTCTTTCAGAGACATTGGGTGAAACATCTTGCTTGCTTTTTTTCAGAGTAAGTGGTGGAAACAGTATCTTTAATGCTTAGGAATTCTATGTTATAATCTCAATGTTCAAGAAGAAAATGAATTATTGGGGGAAAAAATCTGAATTTTTTAAAAGCTAAATTCTTACAGTGTAATATGGTCCTACTCATTATATTGTACCAACTAAATTTATTGGAAGTCTTCAGAACAAGGGGTAGGAGCTGAAGTACAGCCCTTGTTACAATGAAGAGAGTTTGTTTTATGCTCCATTCCTAATGTGGTAAACTTACCCTTTGGTATGCATTATTTCCTGAATCAATAAATAAGCTGTAATGGAAAACGTAGCATTTAATAAGGAATGACATTGTATGTTTTTTTTTTTATAGACATCATAAAATATTGATTCTGCTATCAAACCTGTAGGAGATTAGTTTAACTTGCAGAAACTAGAGAATAGGGTCAGTTCACGTACATATTTTTGTTATTGTGACTGTTAAATATCTACCATTAATTAATCTATTTTCCCCCAACTTCCAGATAAATCATGGTATTTTGGGGAAACAAGAAACTATATTAATGAGCATCAACTCCATAATTATACTTGTGGCTGCATAACAGGGACACAGTCGTGTCATTTCTTTAGGCAATAACTTTTGCAAAGAAGTATTTTTAAACTGGTCATTAATTTTATGACCATAGAAATGAGATGCAAAATTTATGCTGTTGTCATTGGCATGGGTTCAAGGCACTACTGACATTATGTGTGATTGTAATGGAATGGCTGCCAACTAATGAGTCTATAGACATTTTGTTTGAGCATGCTTTGCTTTTAGATGTTTGATTAGGCAGCAATGCTTTCAATTATGCCTGCAAATTGTATTGAATACATTTACCTGATGCCCATTGTTGCTTTGTAGTTCGGTTTTCTATTACATAAGTGCAAGTTGAATGCTTTTCTTTAATTTATTGATGCTTTTTGGGTGTATTTTTAGATACTTGGCACCTGAAGAGAATAGTGGTTTGTGCTGCTCAACACTGACTCCTCTGACTGTTCAAGGAGTAGCACATGGATCTTCAAATGCAATTCTGACTGCTCTTACTCCATAGGTGGAGTACAAACTTCAATGCAACACATTGATGGAGGATCATGTAAAGAGGAGAAAGGGCAGAGATTGCTCAGAGTGGGAATGTAGGAGACGACACAGGATCAACAGGAAGCCTCTTTGTGAACCGTCAGGAGCAATTTCTTTGTATATTGACAGAATACAGTCCTAAGATATCTTTTAACCCTGACAGAGCTAGGAGGCAAGAGCCCCAAGGTTGATACCAGAAAGCACTCCTTCTTTTATGCCAGTACATAAACACATTGTGAAATGTTGCCTGTTAAAACTCCAGAGCATAATGAGTCAGCTTTCTTATTGAAATGCCTGCAGTTCTTCTGTACAAATTAGATTATTGAAGAATTGTATTTTCAGTGTATAATATAAATTGATGAAAACTATTATTTATTTGCTACTATTTTTCTTTGCTCTAAAATAAAAAATGGAAGATTTTTTGCTTTAATCTAGTCCTGCATATGTCCAGGTTGCTTGTACCTCTATCCAGAGTCTGCCACCTATTCTCCTCATTTTTCATGTAAAGTGTGGATAGCTAAATGTAGTATTGTATGACATAGGATTTATATTTTGGTTCTGAGTGTCTTTCTCAGTGAGGGCTTTTTTTATGGAAGTCTTCAAGCCTTCTTTAGAATTTAAAATCTAGAGAATGCTTTGACAAATGTAAAGCACTGAGTGTGAAATTTCTTTCTTCATAATACTCTCAACACTTTTCTTTTTTTGGTTGTTTTGTTTTAAGAGCATTTTGAATTTGGATATTCTAGACATGAAACAGAAACTTTTTTTATTAGGAATCTACATTCGGTGTTGCTATGGTTTTTGTTGTTTCAAATACAGTATATAATTGTGTCATGATTTTCATGCCACATGGCAACTAAAGCCCATATAGTCCCTCACTCATTTGCCTCTGCTGGGATAGAGGAGATAATCAGAAGGGTAAAAGTGAGAAAATTCATGGGTTGATATGAAGTTGGTATAATAGGTAAAGCAAAAACTGTACACAGAAGAAAGACATAACAAGGAATTCATTCATCACTTGCCCAGGGTAGGCAGGTGTTCAGCCATTTCTAGGAGAGCAGGACTTCATCACAAGTAAGAGTGACTTAGACAAACATCACCACTCTTAATGTCTCCTACTTCCTTCTTTTCCCCCCAGCTTTATGTGCTGAGCATGGCATCTTATGGTGTGGAGTATTCTCTTGGTCAGCTGGGGTCAGCTGTTCTGGCTGTGTCCCCTCACAACTTCTTGTGCACCCCAGCCCGCTCACTGGTGTGGTGGTGTGAGAGGAAGGAAAGGTGTTGACTCTGTAAGCATTGCTCAGCAGTAACTAAAATATGCCTGTTTTATCAACACTGGTTTTAGCACAAATCCAAAACATAGCCTGATACCAGCTACTGTGAAAAAACTTAACTCTATCAAAGTCAAACCAGCACAATGATTGGTATATGTATGGCATGCACTAAATATGTATGTAGGTATTGAAAATTCCCTTGTTCCTAGGTCATCTGGCTTTTATATGAAAGTAAAGGACAAATGTTTACTGATTTTGAAATCCTAAGTGTAACTGGAAAATGGTAATATGGTGACTTAGTGGAAGAGCAAGGTAACAGTGCAACTTTGCAAACTTACATAATTTATTATTTGTTGCTGAGTGGGACAAAATGCTCTGGAGATGTTCTTTCTACGTGTATACTCACCTACTTGTCATCCGCAAGTCTTATTCATTCAAATATACTAAGGTTTGCCATTCAGCCCATGAATTATATGTGCTGGAGTATGGTGTTTCTGGAATTGTTTTCTTCTAGAAATACAGCCTAATATTTTAAATTTATGCTGGCACTTTCATGAAGGTTCAATGATGACATGTTTATGCATAGCTAATAAGAGGATATTTTTAATTGACAACCAGGGCTTACACATACACATGTATTCTATGCATTCTAGTACTAGTAAAAGTTTAGGACAGGAAACAGTGGAACTTTTGGAATGGAATCGAATTTTGCCATTATATTGTGTTTGCTCTTTTTAGATGGAGTGTATAATCTCATACAGATATATATAGGCAAAGAGAGACAGGCACCTGATCTCTAGAATCTAAGTGTAAAAGATGATCATGCTGGTTATAAATGAGGCATAATATTTTCTGTTCATGTTCTATCTGTTCTGTGTTTTTCTATTTGGAGGAAGAGGTGAGTTCTAGAGAGAAATAATTTACTTTTGATTGGTTTGACAGGTGTGATGAAGTGCAAATATTTTGATCAGATTAACACGATGACTGGAGTGCTACTGGGAGAGGACTGTGTCAAAAATAGGTTGGAGTCAGGTTCAGATTCAGAGCAGTTGTTAAATGGCATGGGAGCTTGGGAGGAAGCTTTCCTAAGAAAAGCGTACTAAATTAATGAAGGGAAAGCCTAGCTAGTGTTTGACAACCTTTGAATGTAAGAGAACTCCAGCAAAACAAATTTCAGATATTGTTGTTTTTACTGCATGGAAAACTTGCTGCTTTTTACAAACAGTCACGGAGCTTTCTGAAATAGTCGCTGAATTTTCTGTATATTTCCATTATTAAATGGGAAGGGGTAAAACTCAACCATAGTTAGGCAGTCCTACTGATGAATGCAATTTCTGCACCTGTGAAGAAGAATATTTTCACTATGCATGGGTTTATTTTGGACTCTTATAAATTAGTTTTCTGATCCAGTACTCCAAAAGGGAACACATAAATAGAGAAGGATATTTGGATGTCTCTGGAAAGCCTTTGTGTTTGTATATAGCAAAAGGCAATGCTTGAACAATTTGGTGTTACATGATTTTCAAGAAATTTGAGGGCTATTTAATCTATTGGAACATCAACTTTAGGATTCTGATCTGATGATTTTTGTCGTATTTAGGTTTGTCTCCTTAACAAAGATTTTTTTTTTTTTTTTTTTTTTAGGAGCAATGTAGTTTGTTATTTTCCCCCCTCTTCATTGCCTAGATGTGTTAAGCATATCTGAGAAAATATGCTGAGTTTCAGGAAGAAGTTAAGTTCTGCCTAATTAGGTGAAAGCCTCAACTAATATTGATTTCACTGTATCCTTCCTAGACCTTCTCGCTTATGCATGACACTGATCAAAGTGCATCAGATTAACTGATTTTGTAGATTTTATATCTATTGTAGCAGGGCTCTCAGTTGGGCAGGAAATTCATTTACAGAATGCTGCATTAAGCCACAGGTGATACCAGGTGCTGCCAGGAGGCTATTCCACTTCTGGTTTCATGGGAGGAACACACACAGAGTTTTGCAAGGCAGTGCCTAATTACAGTGAAGAAAAGGAAAAGTGGGCAGAGGTCACTGCTGCCAACAGTGGTTAGGCATTTCCTGGGAGGGAAGTTGCTGCAGCTCCATCCTGCACTAGGACAGGCAGAACTTTGGAGCCTGGTGCTCTCCTTTATTCCTTCTGCCAGTGTTTTCCCTTTCCTGCCTCTTTGCTGTGGTGTTTCTTTCCCCCATCGTGAGAAGCTGCCAGCTGTGCCGTGCTGGGAGCAGGTTCATTATACGACAGCGTTTAGGGAAACTGCTCTAGCAGCGTTTACACATCGGGTCAGAATGTAACCCTAGAATGGCATCGCTCACAGCTGCGCTGGAGCCTGCCAGTGTCCATGAGAAATAGGAGTTTTTCAGTTCCAGATAGGAATTAATATCCTCCTGGCTATTGGAAATACTTTTATTCTGTGTGTTTGTGTGATAAGCTATTTCACTAGCAATGTGTATTGACTTTTACAGAGCTGGAAGATGAGGAAGAGTCAGAGAACTCTCTTTCTTCGCCTCCTGATAGCGTCTCCATAGCATCTGACCGATATGATAAAGAGGATGAAGCCCCTTCTGATGGTATGTGACACTGTTTACCTTTCAAAGTACTAGATTTGCCAGTTTGCTATGAGCTGATGTAATCAGATCCTTGTGATGCGAAATTTAGCGCTGGAAAACAGATAAACAGATAAGCAGCACAGCTGAATGCTTTTCTTACCTTTACAAGAACCTTTAAAGGAACTGAAGAGCTCTCTCTAGTGGTCCTAGAGCATAGTGAAGCTGTCTCAAATTTACAGTGTTTCTCAACTCACGTTTTTTGATAACAAAGCATCTTCTGTAGATACATATGTTTTTAAAGATAGATCAGTGGCTAAACCAATGTGAATATTTGTAGTAACAAATTGTTTGTTAATTCAACATTATCAGATTCTTGCTTAATTTTATTTTGCTACTTAATGGCTTAATGTATTATTTATCTAATAAATAATGAAACAGTTTATGTGATTGATATTTTTCTGCAAACTCCATGCAGAATAGGTTCATAAAATATTAAATTAATTATTCCTACAGTGTTTCCTTCCATTAAGACAGTGTTTTGTACAATGTTTTTGTTATATAAATTTTAAGTTTGGGTTTGCATTTAGGAAAAGTCCACACTTCATAGCTGTTTTCCATGTTTTATTTTGTATTCATTAAGTTCAATGCTAAATGCAACTGTTCTGAAGACATGAACAATTGAATATTTCAACAGTTAACAAGCTTGCTTTAGCATAGTGTCCATATTTTTGAGATTAGTTTATTGTATACATAATATAAACATCTTCTATGGATAATATATGACAGTAAATTAAATATATGTACAAGTAAATTAATGATGTATATTAATTTGTGGCACTGGAAGTTAGATAGACTTACTAGTGAATGATGTTTTCTGACGTGATATGATGATCAAACTGTGCAGCTCCATCTCGAAATACAATTGCTGAATGAAAATATGCTTCCTGCAATGTAGCACTCCACATTTTATATTATCCAGATTATTCCCTTTGGAAACATAAATTGCTTTTATGAGGTATAAAATTATGTCTGTTGCAGAACAGGGATAAGTCAAGTACATGCATAAGTGATAAACCTTCTAACCACTGATTCAGAATAATGCTTTTTTTTTTATGTCCAGAACTCTGTAAAATGTATAACAATAATAATCACACTTTTTTTTTAATATTGAGCTTATTGCATGTTGGCAGTGTGACCTTCTACTAAAAAAGTAAAACTAGGCCTTTTTGCTCGCTGGTTGAAATGTAATTATCAGTCAAATTGAGTATGGCTTTTAGAAAACACAAGCTAATTTTCAAAACTACAGATGAATGCAACTTTCTGTGTATTTATTTTTGCTTACAAACATTATCTTATCATTATTTCTAATTATAACTTAATAACATGGTGCTGATTGCATAAAGGGTATATGACAAAATTCTATGACTATTTAATAGGAGGTATGGTTATAGAATTGTTTCAAAACAGTTAATCAAAAGAAAAGTGATAACGTTCATAACCTAAATAATGAACGGCTGGAGAATGCTGATGCAAGAGTATGTGAAATACTGTATGAATTTGTACATATGGATGATTAATTTTTAGCCTTTTTGGAAGTTATGAGAGGAGGTATAATAGCTGCTCAACAATATCTTGACTAATTCATACCAGTTTAGGTAGAAATATAGAGGGTACGATTCTTTTATATTTGAGGTGATTTTACCTTGCTGGTCTTTCTGTATTTTATGATAAATCCTCTTTAATTACCTAGTGGGAGTGTAACACGAAGAAAATTTGAGGAAAAAGTGATAAATTCTGATCTCTAAATACTTAATTTATTGGAGTATACGGTGTTCCTCTTTTTCTCTTTGAATGTCTAATGTGTCATTCTAAGACCGTTTTGATTTTAATATATATAATCCATCATTCCAGTCTAGCCACCTAGCCTGTGTATGAAAATATATGTTGGGAAAATCTTATAAGAGGTGGATTGATCCCCAGAGGTGTCATTTGTTTCAGTTCTAATAGGCATAAATGGGTTTCTTGAAGCTTAATACTGTATTTTAGTTTTTTAGCGGTCTGTTAATGTTCAGTATTTAAATCCTACTCAAGGAACTGGATCTGTAAGATGGTCTGTAGATGTTGATTTTGTATAATTACCAGTTTAATTCAGCAGGGCTCTGTACAGATCTAAAACCTGATTTGTGTAGGATCAAGGCTCTCAGCGTTAACAGAGGGCTCTATCTGTAGGTAACTGAATTGAGGTGGTTTTTATTTATGTTTGAGTCGTTTTCTATTTTTATGTAAAACCTTCTACATATATTTTCTGCTAAAAAGCCCCAAGGCATTTCTCTTTATATACTTGAGTTAGGCTGCAAGGTTTGTATGACTTGCCAAAGTGTCGCAATTTGACTTTGCGGCATTACTGTCAAAACATAATTTGTGAAGGCACACGCTTGGTAACAGATAAAGAATTAGTGTATTATGTGTATGTTACAGTCATTGTAAAATCCTGGAGTTTTTGTGTGACCTTTGTCTAATGGTGTATTAATTACAAGAGGGATAATCCATTTAACAATAAGTATGGGATAACTAAATTAGCACAGGTCACCTAAAGGCCTTTTGTCAAATCTGATTGTTATGTTGTCCTTTTGACTTTTACCTTATGGTAGGCACTAACAAAGTATCTAAACTTTGATGGATTATAAACTCTAAACATGATATGTATTTTTCATAATGCTAATGTAATTTTCTAGGTACTGAAAAGGTCAAACCCCCACGTCTCTGTGTGCATTCTAAGTCTGTCTTTCCTTTTAATATTTCTTTTTCTCTGTTCCTCTGGTTCAAAAGTTCACTCAGTTCCCAAATGGCCACCTAATTTTCCAGTTATTCCCTCAAGCCATATGTGTTTTGGTTTCTTTATGGTTTATTAGGTACTGTAGGAAAGTAGCATAAGTTATATCATCTAATGAAATTCAAGCACACTTCAGTGATGCTTTGACTTGATTGCTGGCAGCAATTAAATCACAATGAGAGAGAATGATGCATGGGCTTACATGTCCAGACACCCTACAGAAATTGGAAGAGGGATAAAACACAACAAAACCCCCCCAACAAAATAACAAACTGAAAAACAAGACAGACCAAACAAAACAGCACAGCCAGGCACTCTGGTCTTAACTTGATTTTTTTTTTTTTTTTTATTGGCTAACAGCCTGATTGATAGCAAAATCATAACTTGCTGTATGCTAACAGGCAGAGTTCACTTGTAGGTTATTGTGAGCTGATAAAGGGTTAGATGGAGTTTTGATTTTCGCATTGGTCCTTGGTGCACCAGATTAATGGAATTTCAATGAGAGACTGGAGTAGTCACAGCTTTGTCAGAAAAACAGATGGAGATTCTATAGCCATGTCTGCTCATTAATACCAGTTGCCTGAAAGGTGTACTACTTCTCTATACAAAAGACTCAACATAATTGATTTTTGAGCGAGGTATTTTTTCACTTATTGATGACTAGGTTTCTTGCAACTTAAATGACAGGTTTTTGTATAGTACATTGTATAACAATGTTATGTCTTGTAATTTCTTACTCCCCTTCCATCTGCGTATTGAAGAATATATGCACTGGGAAATACATGTGTCTTGATTAGTTAAAAACCAAAGCACACCAAAATACTTTAAAATTGAAATACCAAGATTTTCTTTCAAGTTGGAAACAAACTTACTTTTGGTTGAGAAGTGAATGGGAAAAAAGTTACTGTTTTTCATTTAATTTTCAAGTTTCCTAGTTATTAAATGCAGGTTCAATGGTAGGCTTAAACTTTCCTGTTTTATGACACTGTAATCTTCTTTTATAATATATAGGGGTTTTTTTCTTTTTTTGGTTTATGGTATGGTAACCTGATTTTGTAGTAAGAAATGTCACTAATATTAAAGGACCAAACTTTGACTTTGTAACTGGACCTCTGAGGAGGACATGTCACTTTGGCTCTGCAGGGAGTGTGTAATTGGATAATTACTGGATCTAAAAATCACAGTGAATAGTGTGATGAAATAATTTAGATCATCACCATTTCTATGGAAGATCTAGAAATGTTGCCTTGAGAAGGTAAGGATGAAAGAAGTACTAAAAATGTGTCTGGGGACTTGTATGTTCTTCAGATTATCACATCTGGCTATAGCTTATGAATAAAATATGCTTTTTAGTAGAAAATTTTTAAACAGTCTGAGAATCTCTTATTAAATTTCCCTATAGTTAAAGTGGAGGAAGGTAGGGCTGGAGCAAGCAAAACTGGTCACTTGGAGAGCTTTGAGGAAAAAGAGTAAATGGAAGGATTGTGCTTTAACTGTCATCAAAGTGCAGTTTTGAAAACGAGCAAAATTTATTACTCCTGCAACATGATTTTCTTGCTATAATTTTTGGATGAAGCAACAGGCATCAGCACTTTGTTTTCATGTACTTTCTTTGGAAAAGTTCTATACAAGTCTTTGCAGGCTGGAGTAAACTATTTTACATGATATATAGTATTTACTTAATATGAGCATCACGTTTTGCAGTTTGATTGATCAAGTGAGAATGAAAAATTGTGTGACTGAATTTTGCATGCTGTTCCTTTTTACATGTTAAGTCTCAAATACAAATACTGATTAAGCTTCCCCACCCCCCCCCACCCCCCTATTTTTCCTATTTGTTAGGCCTAGTCATTTGAATACTGTCACTGAAGAAGGCTGGTAGAGTTCAGTGTAAGGTTTTATTGTTGTGCATACACACAAGTGTTTTCCCACTTCCTGCAACTACATTCATACTGAGTTTATTTTTGAGGCACTATATTAAAGCAAAAACTGTTCCTCGGTTAAGCACTGCTAGCAAGTAAGGTATCAAAGGTTGGAGAATGGAAAATACAACTACGAAATTCTATCCTTTCTCCTTTTGCCCTTCTTATCCCTCCAGTCTTGTCTTGGTTTACCACTTTTTAGTAACATAATAATGTACATGGAGAGGATGTTTGGTTGTCTTGGGGATGACAGCATTGGAAATTTA